TGAGGAAAGGACAGTCTCTTCAGTAAATGATGATGGGAAGACTGGACAGCCACATGCAAAAGAGTGAAACTAGACCCCTGTCTTACACCATACACAAAAATTAACTCAAAACAGATTAAAGACTTGAATGTAAGACCTAAAACCATAAAACTCCTGGAAGAAAACAGGTAGTAAGCTCCTTCACATTAGTCTTGGTGATGATTTTTGTGGATCTGATTCCAAAAGCAAAGGCAACAAAAGCAAAAATAAAGTGGGACTACATCAAACGAAAAAGCTTCTATACAGCAAAGGAAACCATCAAAAAATGAAAAGGAAACCTATGGAATGGGAGAAAATATTTGCAAATCATATATATGATAAGGGATTAATATCCAAAATATAAAAAGAACTCCTACAACTCAATAGTAAGAAAACCCACAATTGATTAAAAACTGAGCAGAGGATCTGAAGAGACAGTTTTCCAAAGAAGACATACGGATGGCCAGCAGGCACATGTAAAGATGTTCAACATCACCAATCATCAGGGAAATGCAAATCAAAACCACTATGAGATATCACTTCACACCTGTTAGAATGGCTGTTTATCAAAAAGACAAGAGATAGTAAGTGTTGGTAAGGATGTGGAGAAAAGGGAACCCTTGTGCACTATTGCTGGGAATCCAAATTGGTGCAGCCACAATGGAAAACACTATGGAGGTTCCTCAAAAAATTAAAAATAGAATTACCATGTGATCCAGTAATTCCACTACTGAGTATTTATCCAAAGAAAACAAAACACTAACTTGAAAAGATATATGGACCCCATGTTCATTGTAGCATTATATAAATAGCCCAGATATGGAAACAACCTAACTGGCCATCCATGGACAAATAGATAAAGAAGATGTGGTATACAAATACAATGGAATACTAGTCAGCTATAAAAAATGAATGAAGTCTTGCCATTTACAACAACATTGATGGACCTTGAGAACATTATACTAAGGAAAATAAGTCAGAGAAAGACAAATACTGTATCATCTCACTTATATGTGAAATCTAAAAACAAAGAAATAAACAAACAAAACCAAGCTCGTAGAAACAGAGAACAGATTGGTGGTTGCCAGAGGCTATAGGCTGGGGTGGGCTTAATGAATGAAGCGGGGGCGTCTCAAGGTACAAACAAACTTCTAGTCATAACATAAATAAGTCTTGGAAATGTGATGTATGGTATGGTGACTATAGTTAATGATACTCTATTGCATATTTGAAAGTTACTAAGAGTAGATCTGGAAAGTCTTCATCACAGGAAAAAAAATTTTGTAACTATATATGGGGACAGATGTTATCTAGACTTATTGTTGTGATCATTTTGCAATATATACGAATATCCTATCATTATGTTGTACATCTGAAACTAATACAACGTTGTATGTCAATTATACCTCAATAAAAAAATAAAAAAATAATAATTTATAAACCTGGCTGGATTCCTCATATAGCTCCAGGGAGCCCAACCACCTCCCCCACCCACCAACTACTCCTCCATTTATTTGCTCTTTGTGGCTCTGATCAAGTAAGTTCACACTTTAAGTGTCCAGTTATTGAAGGATCTGTATTAGTAAAAATCAAAACAGGGGTCTGCTTAATCTATAAGGAAGGCTCAGCACTAATGTCTCAATTCCCTCTTCTGAGTTTAAACAAAATATATGGGCTTTTGGCATCCCCTATTTGGCTTGAATTGTCATTTGTGCATTTTTATGTTGTGTTTTCCTTTGTATTTGATGATGCTGCTCTGTGGATCTCCTCAATTCCTCTCCCTCCCCCCTCCTTCTCTTCTCCTTTCTTTGAGTGTGCCAGAAAAATTCTCCACAGGATCCTTTTCCTTTTAATCCAAATAGAAAATCAACATAATACTGCTCTGGATGTATTCCTTCAAAGGGGAAAAAAAAATAACCTGGGTTTTGTGGTCTCAAAATTCTGTCCTTTGATGAGAGATAAAGATAAGGTGGTCATATAAATGACACAGAGAAAATGAAAGGACATTTTGATCATGTTCAAGTGGTATTAAGCATGTTTATGAAGAAGTATTTTAAAGGTCAAAGACAGTTTTTAACTCCTTAAGACAGAATTTCTCAAAGATAACTCCTTCGGATCATTTCCATTTTAGCTCTCCGTTCATCACTGCAGGACCAAAGAACTTAGTGGTAGCAGCTCCTGGAAAAGGCTTTGAAGAAGAGGCCTAAGATACTGTGTAACTAATGCCACACAGAACAATGGGCTTAGAGGACAACCCTGAGAAGGGCTGGAGCCAAGGGGCACTGATATGGAGCTATCATGTGCCAGTGTAAAGTGTCTTGTAATATTTTTCTGGTCCTGGCAGTATTAATGAAAAATGCCCAGGTCGTTAGGGTGGAGAAGATTTTTAAAAGGTTTTAAGTATGTCACGTGGCTGTCAGGTGGTGACAGCGTCATCAGAATCAGGATGGGGAAGAATCGTCCAGTTAAGTGCTTGATAGAGTTTGGTATCATATTCACAACTTTTGCCTTCTCCACATACTCCTTTTATATACCTTACTGAGATTATTTGCTGAACAGTCTGTTAAAATTAACCCACTACAGAGGAAACATTTTTATTATTCAGTAAATAAAAATCCATTTGCCATACATAGAAGGTAACCACAAAAATGGGTGTGTGACAAAAACCTTTATTAAACTTTAGCTGAAGATTCTTGCCAAAGACTGCACCAAGACCCACTCTGTCTGTTAAAAAGGGAGGTCAGTGAGTTTAGAGAGGCGTTCAGGACAGACTGGCACCAAAATGAATCTCTCTCCTTGCCTTATTTAGAAGGAGATATAAGCAGAAAGAAAACTCTAAGAGAAAAAGCTTTCTCACTATATGGTTCAACGTTATTTAAAATTGTCTTTGTACCGCTACAATTTCAGCTAAAAATTACCTTAAATCCCCCCTCCAGGAATATAATTCCCACTTAGTTCAATTTCTTTATTTTAAAAGACACTGAAACCCAGAGAAGATAAGGGGTTGATTCAAGGTCCCGTAGTGAGTCCTTAGATAAGTTACCTATTTTATTTCTTTAAGAATAATTCTCCTGAGGGACTGAGGACCCCAGTTTCTCACTGGCTGTTGACTAGAGACCACCCTCAGCTCCAGGAGGCCACATGCAGGTCTCTGTCATGTGAGTTTTCCCAACATGGCTGCTTACTTCAGCCAGCCTGCAAGGAGAGTCTCTGGAGCAAGTCTGTTAGCAAGAGGGAATCTTATATAACATAATGTAACCTCATCACATGGGGGTGACATTGAATTCATCATATTCTGTTGAAGCAAGTCATAGGTTCTGCACACACTCAGTGGGAGGGAGTTGTATAGGGGGTAAACATCAGAAGGTGGGCAACATGGGGGGCGCCCTACAGCTTGTCCGCCACAGCATACAACAGGGTTCCTTATGCTATTCTACCTACTTATGTTTAGGTTTGAGATTTTTCATAATAAAAAGAATTTTTAGAAAAAAATCTTCCATACCTAAATGTTCTGTAGCAAATACATTTCAAGATGAGCTTAAAAAAAAAAAAAAGGAATTCTACTGAGCGAACCAGAGTGCATGAACTTTATAAAGGATTCTCATTGTACTTGTGACTGATAATTTACCCATCTATTTAGTCATTTAGCCAATAAACTTTTTTCCAAATTCTACTAAACACTGGCCTAAGCAGTAGCTGTACAATTAGACATACTTCTGTCCTCAAAAACGAAACAGTCTAGAGGGAGAGGTGGCTAAGTTAAGCTGACAACTATAGTGCAGAGGGACGAGCGCTGAGGCACAGCGAAACGGACTGTGCTCTGAAAAGGCACAGGAGGCCTCTGAAACTACTTTCTATTTATTTTTTATTTAAAGATTTATTTATTTATTTGAGAGAGAGAGTGTGCAAGTGGGGGGAGAGGGAGAAGGAGACAAGCAGACTTACTGCTGAGCAGGGAGCCCCACGTGGGGCTTGATCCCAGGGCCCTGAGATTATGACCCGAGCCGAAACCAAGAGTAGGATGCCCAACCGCCTGGGCCACCCAGGCGCCCCACTACCTTCTATTTAAAGACTAGCTTTCCTTAAAGGGTTTGACGTATTTTGCATTTCTTATTTATTATGACATGCCCTCTGAAAAGTGTCCGTATTATCCACTCTTCACTGAAGGAGTCGGGAGCCCTGATAATGAGCTTGGGGTAAGTTAAAGATGGCTGCACACTCTTTGCCATTCCTCCCATCTAGAGGTGGGCTCTTGACTCTGGGCTGGTGCTGGGCCTTGTTTGGACCAATAGTATGTGGCAGAAGTGATGCTATATGACTCAAACCTGGGCCTTAAGACATTGGCAATTTCTGCTTTTGTGTGCTTGGAACTCTCCTTCTTGGAATCCACCAGCCATGTAAGAGTCCAACTAGCCTGCCAGAGGACAGGCTGCACGGAGAGGGGCCTGAAGCTATGTTTGAGGTCTCAGCCCCAACCCCCACCATCTTGGGATGCTTTAAGCCACTAAATTTTGGGGTGGTGTGCTATTTAGCAATAAATAGCTGAAAATTAAGTTGTAGTTAAGCCATAAACAAATTTTAGCTTTCACTCATGATTTCCTCAACCAGAACTTAACACAGAGTGGTGTGGTCACTCATACCCATATCCTGTGTACATAAAACCAGAAGGGGGTGGGGTTGGTCAATGACTATGTTAGGCTGGGTAGTGTCCATTGAAGGTGGACCATTTCATAGAGTCTTTAAAATGGCTCCTTTGGATCCTTCCTACTACACTGGGAGACTGTAGCAAGCATCAGATACCAGACACCCACCTTCAGTTCCCAGTTCATTGGCAAACCCCCAATTGCTTGCTGAAAGCGAGTGAACTATGATTCTGAAGCTAAAGGGGAGGTGGGGGATGAGGAACCCATCAAGTGACTTGAATTAGCACGAGACACACAAAAGCTCTTTTGTCACCCAGTAATGAGTCTGGGAGCACTTACCTGAAGACATTAGCAGGACAGCCTGAAGGAGAGCTACTTCAGTGTCATCCAAGTTGAAAGAAGACAGTGACATGCCCAGGTCAAAAATGGCGTCTGACACCACCCCAAGACCCCCATTCTTCAGCTGTCCCCGTGTCACTGCCATTTCCCCATTCAAGGTTAAAGTCTCACTTTCTGGGTCATAGCGCACTGCAGCGCGAAGGGACATGATCTCCATGCAGCAGCCTTTGAGGAGGATTATCTGGTCTTCACATGGCAGCTGAAAAAAACCAGCTCACATCAGCAAGAACAAGAGCACAGATATCAGTGAGGAATAACATGCAGTATCTTAATAGCAACAGGGACCACATCCTGCAATCAACATGGTCCCACACTCTTTGAGCCTATGGCTTTTCCCTTCCGACTTGGCTGCAGACTTTCAACAACCATTTTTCATAGTCCAAGTTGGTCACCAATTTTAATGTCAGTACTTTGCCTTTCTTTTATGATGGGTATAAATCTCCAACTGGGATTGCAATCCTGTGTGAGATTGCACTAATAATCCCTTACTCTGGGGGTTTGTATCGTAACACCAACTAATCACTGCTTGAGAACACGGTTTATGTTAAGCTTACCTACATTTCTCATAGTTCTACTAGTCAACAGTTGGCAACTCTGCTTCTATTTGTTTTTTGAAGCAAGTTTGCTCCTTGGGTCTCTCAAAAGGCACAGAAGGAGAAGGTTGCTTATAGAGGCATGTTGTCCCGAGGCCCAGAGATGTAAAAGCTTTGCCTAAGGTCACCCAGTGAGTTAGAGGCAGAGGTGAGACTAGAATTCAGACCTCCTGGCTCTTAGGGTTATGTTCTCAGTACCTCAGGCACCAGAATTACTCCACACACTGGATTTCTCTGCCAGTACTGTAATCTTGTTTTAAATATATTTGGTTGCCTTGTTAATTAGGATTTGTGATAATGTGATAACATTTATAATAAACTTTAAAAAAAAAGCAACTTTGTTAGCAAAATAACAAAAAATCAGAGTTTTACTTTCTGGTGGGAGAGAATGTTTAATTAAAAGCCATTATCAAAATAGTTGGAAAGGTCATTAGTTAATGGATATTTTTTAGCATTGGGCAACGTGCTAAGATTTATGTATGTCATCTGACTTAATCTTCACAGCAATACAGTGAAGTAAATATTCTAATTCCAATTTCATTTACAGAAGTGGAAATCCAGGCACTGAGAGGTTGAGTAACATGCTAAGGGGTCACATGAGGGTTTTGTGAGTGAGGCTAGGATTTGAAGCTACATCTTTCAGAATCCAATGCAAAGAGAAGAGAACACACTCTTTTTAAGTACTTAGGATATGACTAAGTTTCCATAAACAACGAATACATAAATTACACATAATTGTTATCTTGTCATGAAATCAGGTACAAATTCTTTTGGGGCAGTACTCTTGGCAACACTCGACTAGTTCAATTTTGGTTGTTATGTAAAACTGAAGGTAATATTCCTGAATTACATTTAAAATGCTGGGTATTACATATTTTTCGCTAACTCAACCTAGCCACCTTACCATTTAATTTCAAATTACTTAGCTTTTTCTACAGAATAAAAGTCATTTCATATTTGGTTCTGGAATATATACATAGGAATTTTCTCCTTCCACTCATTAAAGAAAAAAAATCCCTGTGATTTGCTTTTATTTAGGTTCTAATTTGTATTCCTTGACTATATCCTGGGATTTCTGGCCCAAGATCATCATAGGAAATAGGAAACCCTGAGCTTGGATAGATCTTCCACCAGTAAGATGGAGAATTGGCCCAAGTAGGTGGAGGCTGGCTTTAACGCCTACGGGGAATGGGGAAATATTTGGCCTCATCAGGGTCACCTGAGGGCTTGTTAAACACATTGCTGGTCCCACCCTCTGAGTTTCTGCATTCTCCAGGTTCCCAGGGGATGCTCCTGCCTTTGTTTCAGGGACTCCACTCTTGAGAGCCACTGGCATAGAATAGCAAAGAGAAATTACTGATCAGATCAAACCATTTATTTATTTTTGAATCTGTCACAAAGAATGCAAACTTGGGCAGGCTCTGGCTTGTAGCCAAGTCTGATTGTAGTTGAAGTAGAGGATTTCTTTTTAAAACTTATTGTTGATTGGTTCAGATAGAAATAAAAGCTGAGTAAGTATTTGTCAAGGATCACCAACAGTTTAACAACTGGACCAGATGAGATTTGTTTCAACATGTGGGTAAATGATCTTGGTCACGTGCCACAATACTTTCACTGTGAGACCATTGCAAGAAGGGCCTGATAGGCCGAGGTGCAGGGACACTCCCACAGGCTCTTCTGTCTCCTCAGGAGAATATCATTCAGGTCGATTGGCAAAGAGTGCCCTGCACTCCCGAAGTGATTCTTAATGTGTGTTTTTTGGCAGTTCTGTCAGCAGCGATTTTAGATCCTTCAAAGCCCTGGGTTTTCCACCAGCCTTGCTGGGGGGTTGGCATGGGTCTTAGCAGAAAATTACTGTGAGTACAATTTGAACAACACATGCTCCCAAATGCCTCTGGCAGGAAAGCTCTGGCTCTCGAGACCACCTGGGATCTCCGGCCCACTCCAGAGGCAGCTCAGGTGCCTACACAGTTCGTTTCCCTCCTTGGGGTTCTAATGAGAGTGAGAAAGACTAAAGGTCCTCAGGGGGCCACAAACACTGGAAACATATGCATCTCTGCTGTAAAAGTAGCCCCCCCCCTTTTTTTGTAATTTGGAGACTACACAAATCAGGGTTGAAAGAGAGAGAGAATCGTGACTTTGAGGCAGGATTAAACTTCTGAGGGAAACGCGAAGAGAGGAGCTGGCCATAGCCCATGCTCGAAAGTTCCATGTTGACCCTTCATCCTTGCCATGGCCATAAGTGCATGGTGTGTTCATTACTGGTGGTGGAGATAGCTTCTTTTCTTTCTTCTTTAACTGAAATATCTCTCTGTGGTTGGTTTACATGAGCTTTACGTTTTCTAAGAAACATTTTTGATGGGTATTCAAAGGGGGAAGACATGACTGATAGGCTAGCTCGAGTTGTAGGGGTAGTGTCCTCAATAGAGTTTCTCTTCAGACACCAGGGATGGGGACAAGGGACACAGCTCAGAGACAGAGAGAGAGGACCAAGAAAGGTCCAGGAAGAAAAACTCAACCCAGTGAACGAAAGAGAAAGATGACACCCAGAGTCAGAGGAAACCAGCACTCTTGGCACAGCTGTGAGAGTGTGCACCCTTCTTGAGAGCAATTTGGCAACACATCTCAGAAGCCTTAAAAGGTGTACATACCTTGGTCCTTAAATTCTACTTTTATGATTTGCCCTTAAGAAATAGTGTTGTGAGCAGGGCATAGGCACCAGGATGCTCACTGTACGGTTTATATTAGTGAAAAATGGGAAATGAACTGAAGGTCTAGTCAAAGCAGTTAACCTAAATTATGTAGATTTATTCTTTAGAATATTATGTGGTCACTAAAACTTATTTGTGAAAGAACCTTTAAATGATGTGTGTTCCACTGTTGAGGGTAAAAAGTCTGGTACAACAGGGTGCTGGTAATGTTTCTTTACCTCAGTGTTTATTACATGGGTGTGTGGAGTATGTGAAAATTCATTGAGCTGCACCTTTATGATATGTGCCTTTTACTCTTTAATAAAAAGTTTAAAAAGTAGTTTCATAAGCAGGATGTACATTATGGTATAAATTATATTAACATGTTTCATATTTCATGTAAGTGTGTGTACATGTATATATACATATGTGTATACACACACATAATTGAAAAAGACTAAAATAGGCTCCAAAATGTCAGTAACTTATCTTTAGGTGGTGTTACCATGAATCAATATCTCGAATATGTTATTTTAAAAAATTTTTTTAAAGATTTTGTTTATTTGAGAGAGAGACTGTGAGTGAGCATGAGCTGGGGGAGGGGCAGAGGGAGAGGGAGAAGCAGGCTCTTTGCTGAGCAGGGAGCCCGATGTGGGGCTCTGATTCCAGGACCCTGGGATCATGAACTGAGCTGAAGGCAGACCCAACCAACTGAGCCACCCTTGAATATATTATTTTAAATAACTTTCCAAACTTTAATAAATGATAGTTAAAAAAGATGGTCAGAGACATGGGAAGCTCCACACCAAATACAGATATGTCAAAATTCCTTCTCCAGGACTCACCAGCTCCTCTGGGGGTGGGGTACGAGTAGCTCGTACGAGTGGGGTACTGCAGGGCTGCCAGCCAGCACATCAGGTACCCTGGCCCCCACCACAGTGAAGCGGGGGACAAGAGCGAGGCACACTCTCTCAGCTGGGTCTGGGGGTCAGACACCTGCATCCTGAAGCCCACTGCTCTGTCCTTCTGGATATGGCTTTTGTGGAGGCTCAAAACAGACAATGAGAAGTGTCCCCAACAGTGTCTGGGGTCTCTCAGAATCCAACTGGGCTCCCATTATTGCAAACCCAAAGACACAAATGAGCTGGAAGCCAAGGTCCGATGGAATCATTCCAGGTGAGGAGAGGGCTTCTTTCTAGGTGAGGCTAGATTCGCTTCTCACTCGGGTAGCTGACATAGGAGGCTCACAGCAGCCCGTGGACCTGTGTATGTGATATCTTTCCGAGTTCCCTTGGAGGTGGGGGGAGCAGTAGATTGGCACCTGATGGCTTTTCAAAGGGCAAAATTCTCCACTTGATTCAAAAAAGGAAGGTTAGAGGCAGGATGGTAATGTAATAGATAAAACAGAAGCCTTAACAGCTGGAATTTATGGGTAAACTTAGGCCCTAGGCACTATCCAAGCACTTGACATATATGATCCCATTTAAACCTTACAATAGCTCTAAGAGGTAAATACTATTATGATTTCCATTTTAAAGATGAAATAACCAAGATTTGAAGACACCAAATAACTTATGTAGGATTCCTGCCCATCCGGCTGACTGCAGAGCCCATGCTTCCAGGCACCACATAGTAGGACTGCTAAGTTAGGAAAGAGGGATAAGGTGTCCCAAAGGGAAAGCCTATGAGCTCAGGTGGGTGAGCTCTTCAGGGTGCCATGAAGACGGGGCAAGAAAGTGCGACCTTGTAGGAAAAGAGAGGAGAGTTACAGAGTTAAGATCCTTGCTCTGTGAGGGGGATCCTTATTTTTGAGGAGGAAACAACCACACAACTGTTTTGCTAGGATATGTAATGGAAAGCATATTGACTTAGACTCAAGCCATGGCCCGGTGTTTGGATAAATTAACTTAATCTCTTCGATCTTAGTTTTCCCCATCTATAAAATGGCCTTAATTAAAGCTATCCTGCAAATCTATTATAAGGATTGGATTTAATGTGGGCAGAGTTGAGCATGGTAACTGGGACACCGGAAGTGCCAAATGAACAGAAGTTATTGCTGTCATATTTCCCTACGCCTGGAGCCAGTGGATAGATAGGATCTTCAGCCTCACGTGGACGAGCTAATGAATGACTGAATAGAGAAGGTAGGGGAATAAGAGTGAAACAGTGCGTTTTCATTTTGTACTGACATTGCTTTCATATGACGAAATCCCTACTAATTAATATTAAATTATAAATAATACTCTGTATTCCTGGAAATTGATGGAACTATAATGAAAAATAACGCAGAAGGAAAAACAGTGTCCTCACCTCACAAAACATAGGCAACTTTTTGGCAAAATCCACCACTCTGGTAATTGCTGGTGTGATGATTTTTGTAAAATGGCTAAAGGCTTCCAAGTCAACCTTTCCACCTTCTGGGGCATTTACTATTGGTGCTTGTCCAATATCTTCTGGCTAAGGAGGAGAAACAAGAAAGATTTAAATGCAGAACCTAAAGGGATCTTTATTTATCATCGTTCTCATGTGGCAGAAAATCTCTTCTGAATTGACACGCTATACAATTTCCGGTTTTCACTTGGCTCATTAACAAACTATGCAGTTTTCACGTAGTTTAGTTTTCTGAGCAAAGATACGTGTCTTGGCCATTGCTTTAATAGCCCCTGGTGATAGTGTTCCACAGAATTGTTGCTGCAGAATTAAAGAAAGGGAAAGCAAGTGAGAGAAAGAGGGAGGCAGAGAGAAACAACAGGAATTTGGGTCCTGCTTCCGAATGCACAAAGGATGCCAGGTGACATATGTGCTAGGGGCTCTGGGGTGGCATTTTCAGGGCCCTGCACTTTCTGGCATGTGTGGCCCGTGATGGAGGAGTGTGATGGGGACGCTCTGGTGGGGAGGGAGCAGAGGCAAGCTGAAGACAAAGCACCAGCTGACAACCCCCTAACCACCCCCCACCTCCCGGACTCCTGGGTGGGATATGTGTGACATTCCTCCAGAAAACTCCCGACAGTCTTTTTTTTTAAGTTTTTATTTATTTATTTTATTATGTTCAATTAGCTGACATACAATACATCATCAGTTTTTGATGTAGTGTCCGACTGTCTTAATGTTAATGCTTTGCTAGAGAGAAGAACAACCTTAGCTTGACAATAGCAAGGCCTCCAGTATTCTGAGAGTTTTCAGCATATAAAAGTCCTTTTGGACATCTCCCTTTTTCCTTACCTCTCCCAACTCCCAAGTATATAATCAGCCATTCCTCACGACCCTAGTGCAGCAGTTCTTTCTGCCCTTGGGTCCTGTCCCTGTGCTTTAATAAATCACCTTTTTGCACCAAAGACTTCAGCTCTGGACCTCACCAACAGGACCTGAAGAGGTCTACTACATCATTGGCAAGTAGCACCCTATGGATTCATTATTGCTTTTGACCCAGCTTCTGGGGCTCAAAGTTCCTGTCTGCCCTATAGATTCTAGTTGGAGGAGGTCTCGGAGGGCTGAAGGGGAAGACCTCTAGGTTGCCTGTAGGAACTGAGTTGTGTAAACTTGGCAAGCTTTCGGGCAGACAGTATTAATTACTAGTATTCAGTGTCCCCGGGGGCACTTCTCTGCCCTTGACTTGCCCAAGAACAAAAGCCATAGCCTTGCTACTCAAAGGGTGGTGTAGCAGCTTGGGTGTCATCTGGGGACTTGTTAGAAAGGCAGAATCTCAGCCCCTCCCCAGATCTAATGGTGCAGAACCAGCATTTGACCAAGTCCCCCAGGTGCTTGTGCTCACGTTAGCCTCCCGGATGTCCATTGGTACTCTCCAGCTCCTTAGCTGAGGGCTCCAAGACCATCATGGTCTCTCACGTATCTCCTATCGTCACCTGTGTTACCTGCCAGGAACAATCCTCTCTGTTGCCCTTTCTTATTGTTGTGATAATTATAACTACTATTTATCTGTGGCCTGCAGGTGAGCCAGCCCCTTTGAGGAAGCACATTATCTCAAGTAGTTCTCACACAATCCTGACTGGCAGATGAGCAAACAAAGGGCTCAAGGAGGTTAAGAACAATACCCTGAGGCCAGGACTTGGATATTGGTCACCCAGCCTCTACACAGCAATCTGCCAGGAACCCCACATCTACCCCCTACTTCAAGGCTTTTACAACCTATACACTTTTTTTTTTTTTAAAGATTTATTTGAGAGAGTGAGCACTCATGTGCAGCCCCGACATGGGGCTCAATCCCACGACCCTGGGATCGTGACCTGAGCCAAAATGAAGAGTCAGATGTTTAACCGACTGAGCTACCCAGGTGCCCCACAACCTGTACACTTTTGACACCAGGGGGCAGAATTCTACTCCTATTATTTCGCTTACCGGCCTCTCCCACTGCCTTGCTGGAAGTTGTGAAGGTGATCAAAGGGATCAGAGACTCAGGCCTGTCCCATGGCCTAGAGCACAGTGAACCGACCAGAACTGCACACCCAGGGTTGGGAGATGCAGGACGGTAGGCAGAGATGGGCTGGAGGATCTGGCACCGAGAACTAGTCAAGCAAAGCTGAATCCCCCACTTGCAGAGTCGTGAGGGCGCTGCTTTTGACAAGACTGTGGCCTCCCTACAGCCATGGTTCTCAAACTTGCATCAGAATCACCTGATGGGTGCCCATGTCTAGAGCTTCTGATGCAGTAGGTCAGGCACAGAGCCTGGGAATCTGCATTTCCCAGGGCATGCTGATGCTGCTGGTCTGGGATGACACTTTGAGAACCACTGGCCTGGCAGTAACCACATCCAACTCAGAGTAATCCAGTTACCATTTTCTTCCCACACCTCCCCAATTATTGCTCACGTCTAATTTTTAGCACAAAGAAAAGCACAGGATGATTCTTTTACTGACTTGTTACTAGGGCACTGGGGTCAATGGAGCAGCCCAGGCCCTCTCCAAAGGCGTGGTAGGAGCTGTGGTTACAGCCTAGGGGAGGATTTTAATATATATTACATAACAAACTGGCAGCATTGACCTTTTTTGGGTTATCCAGTAGGTTCTTCTGTTTTTTATTTTATTTTATTTCATTGTTTGCTTTGTGGGCAGCAAGTGAATGGGAAAGGAACCTAGTCTGTCATGTTACCATAGTCAGTGACGATGTTTTGGGGCCACTGTTGGCATGGGAAGCCCGTGGGAGGCTACTGCTCTGCTGGCTTTCTGGATGCAGACAGAATTGACAGAATAATCACACATACAATTTCCTTCTCTCTTTTCTCTCTCGCTGACTGTCTTTCTCACACAGCCTGAGTGGAGGGAAAAGGCACATCAGGGCCTCCTTTGGGCACTGCTGCTCCTGGCATTCTTCACCTCCTTGCTGGTCTTTACAATTCCTCCCACCCCAGAAATGAGGCTCATCTCACCTGCCTTGCTTATTTTACAACTCTGTTATGAAAATCGACTGATAAAAGGAACATGGTCATACAATAAAAAAGAAAAGAAGTTTTACACACACACACACACACACACACACATAGGGTGAGCTTTTTTAGAAATAAAAAAATAACAATATTTTAATGTTTTTATAGTTTGACCAAATGTCTTGTCATTGAACACTGATAGATCTAAACTGATTGTATTGAATGGTAATCAGTGTCCTTTGAATTGTCGCTAAGTTAATACCGATTTTAAAAATTTCCATTTAATCTGTGGGCTCATGGAGCATTTGAATCGCACATCTAAGGGTTTGAAAAAAGGAGGGGAATTATACAAGGAAATATGGTAATTTTAATTAAAATTAAACTTCCAAATGTAACCACCTCACAAGATTTTCTGTTGAAAAATAAGTATCAGGGTAGAAAAAAAAATGTACTTTTAAGGTTTTGGGTATTTAATGGAAAATACAATTGCTAGAAGTAAAATCATATACAAAGTAAAAGCTTTTTATTATTATCAAGCTTTATTCCCATAATGGATCTTGGATACCAGAAAAAAACAGATAGCTAGATAGATGATAGATAGATAGAGTCTATGAATTGACCTGAGTTAACACATGAGGTATGAGAAATTAAGGTTGAGCACTGCAACCTTGTCTGTGACTTCCCTAAGGATTTTTCACATCATTTGCTGCAATATTTGGAAGATGATAGAAATAAGAGTACAAATAGTTGGCATCAGGTGAATCTATTAGATACATAAGTACAGCTAGTAGCCTTGTAATACACAACATGAGATACATTTGCTCTCACACACACACACACACACACACACACACACGTGAGCATGCGCTAAGATCAAGCTCAGGTACTGATGATAAGTCACCAGGGTAGACTGTGGACAAAGCCTGGTTTTTGCCTCTGGCTCAAACTGCCTTAGCTTTCTCACTGGGGTGCTTCCAGTTCTCATTCTGACTTTCTTCTTCCTTGGCTGCCATAATGGGCCTCCTGAGCCAGCTCAGCCTACCTCTTCATGTCTCCTCCCCAACTTGCTTTGCACTTTTGCAGTTTGGAGCTGCCTTTTCTCCGGACTTCTGCTTTCTCTCAAGTCTCTGCTTCCATCTTATCTTTGCCAATTCCAAATCCTACCCCAATCAAGTTCTGTTTTCTCCTTGAAGTCTTCCCAGATGACCTGTGTGAAATGATGCCTATCTCACTGGAACACAGATGGTGGCCCACGTACATCACTCATATGGCATTTAGGCATTTATTACTATCATTTTTTATTGCAGTTATGTAGGTACATAGTAAGATATGAACTTCTTGGGTGGGGGGCATAAACTTTAAGTTTCGTTGTCTACTGTGTGGAAAACATTGGGCTAAAAGGTGGAGGACAGAATGCTTGTTGGTTGATTGAGTGAATAAATGTATGTTTATACATGTTCAACCAGTATTTATTGAGCAACTACTATGGGGCCAGGCCTGGCTCTAGATGCTGAGGTTACATCAATGAACAATGTACCCTCAAGGAATTTTCACTGTATTGAGGGAAGACAGACAAAAAATAAAAAGAATACTCTCACAGAAGAATTTCTATTTGTGATTAGACTGAGGTGACATGATAGTATGTGGGGGTCAGAAAGAGGGTGGGCAGCCTAAGATTCTTTGAGAAGTGATGTGTGAGCTTTAACTGGAAGAATGTCAAGAAGGCAGCCCTCCAGAGAACCAGAGGAAGAGCATTTAAGGCAAAGGGAAAAGCCAGTGCCAAGTCCCGAGAAAGGAGTTGTTGGGTTGCTATGCGGAATAGGGATGTGGGGAGCCAGAGGAAGAGATGGGCCAGCAGCACTAGCTGGGCAGGACATGAAGTGGTCTGGACCATGGGGCGGCAGTAGAGATGGAGAGAAGTGGAAGAACTCAAACCTTTCTTGGGAGCCGGACCCAGGGCTGTCTGACTGACTGGATGTGGGATGCAGGACAATAAAGAATCCAGGATGTCTCCTTGGGGGCAGTGGAGGGGGTGGGGGGGCACAAAGGGAGAGATTCAGGGGTGTGTGCGGGGGTGGGCTTCTACTAGCTCAGTCGTGTCACTAGCTGCTGATACACAAATGGAGACTAGGTGCCTTTCTGCTTTGACTGTTCATCAGTATTATTCAAGGTGAGTAGCAGATGCTGCCCGTTGGCCTCTTTGCAGCGGCTGGCTCCGAGCTGAGGGCTTCTTGGCTTGAACCTGCAGCTCTCTGGCACATGCAGAGTGGGATGGGGCCAGACAGGACTCTGCCCTTCCTTTGTGAGATCATAGGGTATCTTCTTGCACCTTTGTAAGGGGGGGCAGGAAAGCCCAGACCAATGGTGGTTAAAGGTCCCTGGGCTTTGGCATCTTACTACAGGCTCTCCCTTTTCCTGGGATGAGCAGGGATGGACATGAGGATGGGGGTTGTAGGGATAATGCACATAGGAACCACTTGCATGGTTGTTAATGATGTGCTGAGCACTTATGTCTAACAACTTTTATACCTTGTTGTGTAAAGTCATCCGAGCCTTAGAGAGGCGAAGGAACTTGCCCAAAGTCACATAACTAAAAAGCAACAACAACAGCAACAAATATATATATATGTAAAAAAAATAAAAAGCAACAGAAACAAGCATTGAACTCAGGCTGTCTGATTGAATCTCCATGCACATGACTATACGACCCTGCCTTCTTCTGATGCAGTTATAATTTGGGGCGATAGAAGTCTTCCTGACTTGATTGCTTTTGCCTTATGACCAAATCACCCATCCTGCCTGGCCCTTCTGCTTATGCCCCTTTTCTGAGGTTTTCCCAACAGAGCATAGGTGAAATCAGACAGCAGCTCTGCCGGGGAAAAGTAGGGCAGGCCAGCCCTGGTTCTGATGGTCACATTTTATACTTTCATGGAAAATCCATCCAAAGCTGTACCTTTGCATGTGAACGAAGGGAGAAGAATAAAAACACCATGTCAACAGACAGTATTTTTGCTGCTATGGGGTTTACTCCAAGCCGAGTGTCTTCCTGCCCCTGGGAGGGGTAGAAGTGAATTACCCGTGGTGGAAACACGGCTTCTCTTGTTTGGCTCAGATGGCCCTTGTTCTCTTCTCTGTGCACTTCTCTGTTTCATCATTGCTGTCACCACACCCGAAGGGTGGTTACATTGGGCACTTCTGTGCCATCAGGAATTTGGGCGGATTGGAGAAAACTAGAAAATTATTATTTAAATGCTTTTGGAAGTAGTTTTAAAGAGTGGCTTTGGAATTATTATGAAAATCTACATGGCTTTTTAAAAAGTTTATTTGCCAATGACTCTCATTTCTACAGACACAAATATAGATTTGAAACCCAGGTCAAACCACTAGTCTCTATTTCTGACTTGAGTCCTGGTGTTAGGGTGAAAAATGATGAAGAATCTTCTTTTGGGAGAGTAAGTTATTTTCCTGTTCCAGATAGATGAATACTTCCAGTTTCTATGACAACATATAATTTTTAGTCCCTTCTGATATATTACTATACTATTATTATTATATTTTTAAAGATTTTTATTTATTTATTTGAGAAAGAGAGGGAGAGATCCAGAAGAGAGCATGAGCAGAGGGGAGGGGCAGAGAGGAGCGGCAGAGGGAGAGGGAGAAGCAGGCTCCCCGCTGAGCAGGGAGCCCAACACGGGACTCAATCCCAGGACCCTGGGATTATGACCTGAGCCGAAGGCAGACGCTTAACCGAAGGCAGACGCTTAACCGACTGAGCCACCCAGGTGCCCCTATTACTATACTATTATTAACATAATAGGTCTCTTCAAATTCTTTTTCAGAAGAAGATGGGTCATCATCACATACAAATAAATGAAATAATATGTGTAGCAGTGTTATAAGCCAAATAGAGGCAGCCACACGGGAGACACAAATCCTAATGTGTAGAAGCCTATTCAGACATGGATATCATTTAGCAAAGCTGCCTTTGATGAAGGATTCTTAATGTCCTTGCAGGAATAATTCACCACTCAGTGAAATTTTTATCCTGAGCATACATACGCAATCGGAGTGACCCTTCTGCAAAGGGGATGTGTAAATATGTAAACTGGCTGAGACAGAGGGCTTAACTGTACTGTCTCTGAGGATGGGCCAGTGGAACTGTACATTCTGTTTCACAAATATTTATTGAGTTCTGTTCTGGTTATCTATGCTGTGTAACAAACTACCCTAAAACTTAGTGGCTTAAAACAACAGATTTTTACTGTTGCTTAGAGTTGATGGGCTCAGCTGGGTGGTTCTCATTGGGGTCCCTCATACAGTTGTCCTCAAATGGCAGCAGAGGCTGGTGTCATCTGTAGGCTTCTTTACCCACATTTCTGATGTCTGGTCTGGCACCAGATTCAGCCTTAAAAGTCAGTCTGCTAAAAATCTGTTGCTTAAAGTAATCACACACCCAGCCCATGTTCAGTGAGAGAGAGAGGAATAGACTTCACCTCTCCATGGGAGAGAATGAGCTGTATCTACAGGGAAGAAAGGATCTCAAGGCAGCCATCTTTGACAAGAGCTACCACAAGTTTCAACCACACATGTGATCGACAATGAAGTGACAATACTGAATGGAACATGGTCCTTCCATTGAGGAGATGCTGGGGTGATCCCAGTCATAAAAGGGGATTGGCTGATAGAAATGAAGCTCATTGTAGACACAGATGGGACTGTGACCCCAGCACCACTCTTAAGAAAAAATGGCCTGGAGAAGCAGTTCTTTGTATTTGGACCAAGAGGAACAATTTCTTGAACAGATCAAGGATCTACAAAATATACATTTCACATTGGCTCCACTGAGGAGGGGAGACAGGTGGATAAAACAGTTGCTCTGTAAATGTCAGCTTCCCAAAGAAAACTCTAGTTCCTGGATAACCTCATGGCCCTGACAAAAAAACTAATGGCAAATCAACCTGTGCTATACATTCTTTGGTTCTTTCTGTAGATGATCAGATTGATGAAAAGCATTAGGAGCCTTTGAGCTAAAGGTGCAGACCTGGTTTTAATCATTAGCAATAGTGTCATCTTTGCTAAAGAGACCACAAGGCATAAAGAGATCTGACTGGATTTTACCATATAGAATTTGTTTCTTAGCTTTCAGACACAGCTCATGTCACCTCCCCAGGGAGACCTTTCTGACCACCCTGTCAGAGAAGGGAAGTCTCTCTCCACTTCCAATTGTCTATCACTCTGTCCCATCATGATGTTTGTTTTCCTCACTGCACATACCACCACCTGTATTCATCTTGTTTGTTTAATCCTTACTGTTTTTCTCCCTCCACCAGAATAGAGCTGACTTATTCACTTCCTAGCATACAGTAGCTGCTCAATAAATTTTTTTTTTTTTTTTTGGAACAAAAGAACAAAGCTTTAGAGTCTGGAAGGAAGCACCCTCGTGACCACTGAAATGGTTTTAGTTAGACTAGTATTCATTCTCTTTTTGGAGTAGAGAAAACTGAAGTGTAAAGTTCCTTAGAAGTCCAGATGTGCCCCAAATCTTCCACTTTATTTGAAATTCAGCTTGGTCACTACTCTGAAATCAGGCCTGGAAGTGGAAAGGTCAGTTTCTGAGATGGTCAAACACCAGCTGGTGGTGGCGGGGTGGGATAGTCCATCTGGACTTCTAAGCTTGGCTGCCACTTTCTAGTAGTGTGAACTTGGGTGAACTAAATAAGGCCTTTGGTTTGGTTTGCATATCTGTAAAATGGGGATATTAATTCCAGCCTAACCCAAAGCATTGTGAGGTCCAAAGAAGAAATGAATGGGAAGGACTTTCACAGTTGTTAGTTTTTATAAAAACATCAAACATTGAACTTCCAAGGGCCCACAAAAGCCTGTTTTCTCTATATATCCCCACCCCCAAACACCCTCCCTACTCCCCATTCCCCTAGTCTTCCTGGACTCAAGTTCATTTATTTTAAGCTAAACATTTTGACTTCTATTGACATAAAAATACATTTGAGATATGGGCTACTTCATCCTAGGGATTGTTCTAAAGGGGATATCTTGGGGTGAGTTTAGAGGACTAACTATATAAATGGGCATCTGGGAGAAGAAATGGGTGTAAAAGGGGAAAGCTGACAGGTAAAGAATGTTACTGATCAGTTGATTTAAGGCTGGCCTTATTAATAGCAAAAGCAAACAGATTATGTGGCCTAAAAGCTACTTAAAATTTAGTGACTCACAAGCAACAGTTGAGAGGAATGACCTTTGTTCTTAGACAGCCCTGGATTCAAATCCTGACTCTGCAAGTCACTTGACTTCTTGGGAATGCAGTTTCCCTATCAGTAAAATGGGGGCAGTCACACCAGCATCCCACCAGGGTGATGAGGACTGAGTGAGCTGAAGGAGAAAATGTGGAGCATGCAGCTGATATTTAGCTGTGCCGGGGAGCCTCACCAGGAATTTTCGTTTCTGCTTCCAGTGGCTGCCTTGGGCATTGGTGGCCACATGGGCTTCAGTGACAGTTTTGATGAGCTCCCACTCCTCGTCCGTGGGCTCTGGCTTGTGCCCGATGGATTTCTGCAGCTCTTCCCGCCGTCTCTTCTCCCGGTTCTCCTCAATCAGCTTCCTCTTTGCCAGCCTCTTGCTGTCATCCAGTACCACTGGGAGAAGAGGAAAGATGAGACAAAACACGCGGACACTCGCAGACATGTGGCGGACTGCGCTTACACCCCAGACCACCCATGCGCAGATGGCTGAGCACGTCCTGCAGGGTGGGTCACACTGGGGTATTTTCTCCCCTCGGCAGCAAACCGCCATTGACTAGCTATGGTCCGATATGAGACCTAGTGCCAAACTCCCAATGTCTGGTCAGCTTTTCAAAACAAAACTCTGGGCGAAGCTGGACAATGGGCGTCCCAACCCCACAGAAGGTGACTCTAAAGAAGAAGGAAGCAGAGGGAGGTAAAATCTGTCCTACCCATGGGTTCCCAGATGAGTCTGTACTCAGTCAATATGAGATTATAGCCAATCATCTGGATTCACTCTTAGGATCTCTGTTCCTCCTCTCTTGCCCTCAAATGGCTCTTAGTAAAACGAACTTCAAATTAAAGTTCTGGAGTGGTAAACAGGAGGCTAATGATCTCTTCCTCAGATAAAAAGGACCCCAACTCTTTATTAGTTCCCTCAAGGGTTCATTGGAATGAGGCTCGGTCTATCTCAGGCTGCCCAGGTACTTACTTTGCTCTAGTCTATACCTGGTCTACCCTCAATGGTGGTTAAAGAGCCCAGGCTTTGGAATCTAGAAAGAGCTGGGTTTGAATCCTGACACTACCACATTCTAGCTGTGTGACCTCTAGCAAGTTGCTTAGGCTCTTTGAGCTTTCATATCTTCCTGTATAAAACGAGATTGACAATCCCACCTCACAGGGTATTCAATGTGCTAACGTACTACAAGTGGTCAGTACATACAGCCATGACTTTTACCACTTATGCAAAAGGGACATAAGAAGGGCAGATAACAAGAAACCTCTACTTCTGGGTTATTTTCCAAAACAAAACCATTTTACCAGACTCTTAGTAACCATCAATGGAATGGAAAGCCTCAGGTTTTATGCTACTGAGTCATAGTATTTTAGAACTGGAAAGAACCTTCGGTATTATCTAGCCCAACTCCCTCCTTTCACAGAGGAGGAAGTTGATCCAGAGAGATCATGACTTGCCTAAAAGTCACACAGCAAGTTCATGGCAGAGCCAAGGCAAGACCCAGGACTCCTGATTCCAGTTCTACAACATCATTGTCCTAGGGCCATTTCTTGATGAAGGTGTGACCTGGTAGGAAAAGAAAAAAAGCAAACATAGCAGGAGGAAGAGAACCGAAAGTACTCAGCTAATCCACAAACAGAATAATGAAACCCCAGGTCATCCAGGTTGGATTGGATCATCCAAATCCCGTGAATGATGGCAAATGTGGGAAATGTGAATGAGCCCTGTTAGGTCACTTTGGTTCCCTTATTAAAGGGGGGATGAGGAGTGGACTCTACTCATAGCCCCATTTCCCAAATGCTTCCTCTATGCCAGGGATTGTGGCATTTGACATGCATTATCTAATTTAATCCTGAAAACAACTTGCAAGATAGGCGATGATTTCACCGAAGGGAAGCCCAAGGTTAGGTCTGATGGTCACACAGCTATTAAGTGGCAGATACGGGACTCCAACAGTTTTTCTGATTATAAAGCCTGAGCTCTTATAATACCTTGCAGGGTGCATTCAAAATTAATTTCCACCCAGGCCAGATTAACACTGAGCTTTTTTAACTTTATAAACATTCCTATTTTTAACTTCTCAATCAAACAATGAAATGGACACAATAGTAACAGTCCCTTATGGTGACACATCTAAATATTCGGTTCTAGTCAATCATTTTCACATATCCTTATCAGGCATATTGTTGGCAATGGCTAAAAGTCTTTAAAAGATGAAGACAACCCACTCAGCCAGAAGTGGGGATTAACCCAGGATTTCCAGCCTAAAGCCCTCAAACAACCCTCCTCCTTTTTAAAGATTCCCCATTCTGTCTACTTTATTGGGCAAAGCAGGACATTTCACAGACTTTTTTTGTTGTTGTTCTAGCTCAGAGTACCCTGTTTCTCACATAAATGTGAGCTGTGATTATTTCCTCTTTCCTGAGGAAAATCCTCATTGCATTCTTTCCTTTCCTTTTTTTTTCTTCTTCTTTTTAAACTAAAAGTTGGAAATTTTCATTGAGGTGCAAAACACTTATGCCAATAGAAACCATTAAGCCTGATGCCTGGCAAAACGGAGGTCACACATTCTGAATGACACAATTCTTACTTTATTATTAGATTAATTAAAGTGACTGGTGTAAATCCCTTGCACGGTGCGGGAAGAAGAGACTCCAGTGGCTAATCTCACCACCATATGCTGTGGCACTTTGAAAACTGGGTAGGAGGACTGGAGCTTAGAATGTTTTTATGGGCTAAAAATATAACAAACAACCAACGGCAGGATGACTCATGCAATAGCACTCGACTTCACATTCTTCAAAAATTACTGAACACGATGTTTCCTGCCAGTGCCCCATCTCCAAAAATGTCCACAAAATAAATTCCTGTCTCTGCTTTTGAAAAATATCAGGACTAGTCCATGAGGCTCTCACCACACGAATGTCGTACATAAAACTATGCCTCATCAAGGGGACTGGACATGACCGCTCATTCGTAATCTGTTGTGAACAGAGTATTGCTAACAGTCCTGCAAATGTGATAGGGATAATTTAATCACTCCCCCTCACGTGTAGTCTGGATACTTTGAGAGTTAGGAGTTGATAGGGAAGGGATAGGATGGAAACCACCCAGCAGTAGCTGGGAGTGAGGGGTCTGTGGGAGTGCTAGGGATCTTCTCTCTATCCACATGGGTTCCTGCTTTCTTTTCTGCCTGGTTGATCTCCTTAAATCAAATCTTTCCCCAATGAACACTCCTTGAATATGAAACAAAGGAAGAAGATTACTTACAATCTGTTGCCATGCCAACATAGATGCATTTTTTAAAGCGACATTCCTGGCACTGATTTCTCGTAACTTTGTCTATGACACATTTTCCTTCATATTTACAGGAATAGGATGGATGGAGATTTTTCTGAATGGTTCTTCTAAAGAAACCCTACACGGGAAAGAAAGACCCAAGACAGCAGTTTCATATTTTCTAGAAATAAATGACTCCAGAATTTTGTGTCCATATAACTGTGATGGATTGTTTTGGACCTTACCTGGGTATGGACCTGTAGCTCCTACCTATTCACATATAGGGCAATTAGCCCAAACTGAATCTAAAGAATTCTAAATCTGAGCTGAAGGAAATGTCTAGGCCTACACACAGAGTCAGTATCTTTTTGGCATTTAGTAAGGAAAAGAGGTTAGTGGGAAAATCTAGTGTTCATTTTTATTTTTTCTAAACACTGAGTAATATAAATAAATTACATTATTTCATTTCATAGAGTGCCATAATTGTGTTGTTAAGTTAAGCTGTGAAGAACCTTGCTACACTTTGTACTGGAGAATAAAGGAGCTGGATACTTGTGATACTCTATTAATTAATAATTCAATTATTTAGTAATTAAACAGCCTTTAGAGATTTAGTTTAGTTCTTGTTTTTAACTCTTGAAATGCCCATGGCCAGCTCAGATAACCCTTGAAACAACAGTACTTGGGGAGTAGAAAATTCAAGACTCTCCACCCAATTTTTCTCAGTGCTCCCTGCCTTGGGGTTTTTCCTTTCATAGTACTCTCCCTCTCCAGTGTTGATAGACATACTCCCTGAAGTTCAATAGGTGTCTTCCTTTCTTAAGGCATGGGAGAGGGCCACCGTAAAGGCTGCTGAGGATGCCATGTAGTCCAGGTTTAGGTGACATAAACCTTCTTGAAGGTGTGTTCTAGCAGAACCTTCCTGGACATGGTACTCCCGTCTTGGCAATAGTGCTTCTGTATTGTAGCACTCATGATGGCAGAAAGCGTGCACTTTTTGTAAGGGGCACATTGCAAAGCGCTGTAGACACCTTCCATATCCTTCTGTCTCTTCTACAACCTTATGAAGTAGGTACTCTTAATATCTCCACGGTAGGTATTAAAAAATTAAGCCTCTGACAGGTTAAATCACTTGCCCCAAATCATGTGGTAAGTACACTGGGAAACTCAGCCTAGAGCTGAGGAGTCAGACTCCAAGTCTTGTTTACCTAACTGCTTATATGATATAAACTGAATCCAATTTTACTGTATTATTTAAATGTTTTAGATGAACAGATTATAAATAGCACCCCCCGCCTTTATCTTTTTTAGTAGACTAGCAAGGCAAAAACAAATGTTGAAGGATACTGTCTACTAAAGCTTAAAGGGACCTCTAACTTTGTTACATAAATAGGGACTGACATACCAGCTGGCCTAGATTAAACCCAAATTTGAATGATCCTATTTAACTTTCCTTGGCTTTGATTTTGTACATATACCACTTGCATATTCACTCAGACATAAGAGCTCTCTACCTTATAATGAAAAGGTCAAAGGTAGGATTTTATATTGGGCAAAGCAGGATAAAATAGAAAAATGACAGCCATGACTGAAACTAATGAACTTGATTGGGGACATGTGAGCAAATCCCTTATCATTTCTTTTGTTCAAGGTCTAACAGGAAAACGGCCCCATTATTATTTGGGTCTTGTATCCTTAAACACTTATGTCCATTAGTTTGAATGATGTTGCTATCGTGTTATAAGATTCACTCAATCACACATGGGCAGGTCTTTGTCATGCTGGCGGTGTGTTTCCCTGGGTATTCAAGGTGGGCTCATTCTGCTACAGCGTGAATGTCAGGGCATGCCACAGCACTGAAGGACAAGCTGCCCTGTGACCCTCTCTACTCTACCTCTGCTGCCCTCTCTCCAACCCACCCTTCATGGGTCATCCCTGCCTGGAGAGCAAAAAAACCCTGGAGATTCCTGGCAAGAAGACATGTGTCACAGACAGGGAGGAGAGCGGCTGGGTAGCATACCTCCTTCTGGAGAAGGCAGAGTTTCCCCAGAGGTGGCAGCACCAAAGTCCAGGGCATCAGGGAGAATGTGTGCTGCTAGGAGGATAGGAAAGTTGTTGGGGGAGACCCTTTTCTCACACATACTCTGACGCTGACTCATGTTCTAGAAGCGCGGAGCAGACCAAAGAGTCCAACAATGCTAAGGAGAGAATGAGCTATGGTATACCAGACACTGGGGTAACATTCATTTTTCCAAAAAGGCTACTCTGTGAACCTTTAAATGGAATGAATGAAATAATTTATACTTTGCTTATGTCGAGAAAGGTGTTGGGGTGGCAGGCTCTGCTATTCATAGTACCATCTTTTCTATGGCTTCTCCCTGATGTCTTTTCTCGGGTGCTTCATGGACCAAATCCCCTTTAAGATGTTGGCTTCCCCTAGGTTATAATAAAAGGATATTTGACACATGATGAGGGATCACTTCATTTGAGTGAACGTAAAGGTGCTAGATCCCTTAATTTTAAAAAGTGACAAAAATTAACTTTTGGAAATGAACCGAACAGAAAATATTTAATATAGTCTACCTACAAAAATCTTTTTAGAGGTGAGCTAACAAAAGACATGTCCCAGGGACTAAGTAAGGCCATATATTTCACTGATGATTTGTTGGTGAGGAGAGGTTTTTCTTTTATTAATCAACATCAGACATGTTTCTCTGCATTTTGAGAAGAACTGGATCTACTTCTTAGTGGTCTGAGACGATGCCCTGATTAGTGTGATAAGGAGCTAAGTGTCGATATTTGGGCAACTGCTATAAGCTATGAATCTTTCTTAAAAAAATAGTTTATTGTGGGGAAGTATCAACATTCTTTCTATGAAAAACTGGCTCATCAAAACAGACAAAACAGCTCCAAAAGATTTTTGCTGTCTTCAGGGCAAAAATGGGCAAAAAAGACATACACACTGCAAGTAAGGTGTAGAAATATTTTTAAAGTGCCGGTTTGAATAAACAGTATGTGAAGCATAACCTTTTTTATCTTTGGCCACTCTTAAAAACTGTGTTTCATTTGAAAAACTCCATTGTCTTTTTTCAAGATACTTTGTCTTTATATTAAATGTATGATCTGCATAATTACCCCAGGAAAGCTGCTTTCTGATTTTATGATGGAGGCAATTCTAGAAACAGGATTCTGATCTGAGATAAAGGGACAGAGGCTGAAAAAAATCTAGCTTTTTGCTACATGATTTCTTCTTTTAGGTAAACCTCAGTTGAATCAGGCCCCAAACATGCTGTGATCTTGGAAAAAGAGGCTAATGGATTTCCTGATCATCATGAAGACATACATGAAGCAGGGACACGGGTTAATAGGCTTGATTCTCCATTTGTTTAAGTCAATCACTAATAAGCATTAAGTTCTCTGTAAGGCACATTTGGTCTTTAGAGTCACTTTGGGAGTTGAGTATTAAATGGAATTTTCATTAGAGTCTCTCCCAGAACTCAAAATTTACCATTAGGAACTGATTTGAAAGAATCTCAATGCTACATAATCAGGTAGGCAAAGCTTTATGAATTGGGGCTACTTTAGAAAAAAGGCCTGTTTGAATTACTGAGCTTTCAAAGTGAGAGAGTATATCTAAAGTAATACAGTGTTATTACTTTCAAATCAAGCCAATAAAACTGTGCTTTCAAGAGACAATCTGCAAGTCCCCCAGTTAATAAACAGTCAGGACTTACTTGTATTTGGTTCCATTAAACTCCTTAAGATTATTTTCATGGATGTAATAGCAATATTTAGCACAATCTTTTTTAAAAGGTACAAATTCCAGATCAAAGGTGTCTGGATGAATGAGAGCACACTACATCACATTACAAAAATCTTGCAGATATAGGGCCTTGGGAACTTAGAAACGCCCTGATGTGTCCTGATTCCCATGACTGTATCAGTTCAATACTTCCAGCAGGCTTCTGCTAAGTGTTTCCGAATTTCATGCACAAAAGCTAGGGAATTTGCATGGAAAATCTTCCATTAAGAAATGGGGCACCTTACCTTGAAACCAAGCTACCATGCTGATTTTTGGGGTTCAGGGTCAAAGGTTAGGAGGAAACGGGGGTAGTTGAAGGAGGGGAACAGAGAGGAGGAGGTGAGGTGGGTGACGGGAGGGAAGACTGAATCGTTTTATACAGTTTAATACAATCTTTGCCTTAGGATTTACATCTTGGGATCATTTGGTTTTAAATATAAAAAGTAAATAAAACATTTAGCAAGTAAACATTTAAGAAGTCTTTCCCTGACTTAATATACTTCCTCATGTATAAAACATTAGCTGAACGCTGGATCTAGCACTGGGTTGAGCTTTATTTATTTTTATAGTAGACTTCCTTTTCTAGGCTAGGTTGTTGGGCCAAAAGATATTTGCCAGAAAGTTCATCTTAATTTTGATGATGAAGAGTGTAAGTAGGCAAATTTAGGCTCACTTTCGGGAAGTGAACTGTTGATCATGGGTGTATTCTTGTCAAGTATCTCCTGTAGATGGGTCTATAGAGCATAAAATTAGCTGATGGATGCCCAGAATTCATTTACTGGCTGAAGGCTGTGCAGAAAGCCAATATGGATAATTTCAGAACATAATTGAATCTAAGTAGCCTCAAAGATACTCTCTAATGGAACCCTTAAAAATGAGCATATTAAAAAAATAAACAGAAGTGGGCATATTTACTCAGATTAATAGCATGTGGTAGAGTACGTTCTGTGTCCTTAACCACTGGAGATAAAACAAGAGGAGAAATGGTTATTTCTTGGGCTAATATATTATAAAACATCTATGCGTTTTTAAATTCATAGTGAGAATATTAATTTCTTTTCATCTTATTAGTTCTCTCCGTGTCTTTTTTTTTTTTTCTTTCCCCTCTCCCTGTCTTAAAAGCCAGACATTACACTCTTGCAAATCCATTTAGTTATTGTTGATTTGGGAAAAAAAAATAAATTCAGTTCTTAAACATGCCAAAAATTGAGGAGGACAGCCAGACAGGCTGTGGATGATCACAGGCCGTGAATGTTGGAATTTGGTTCTAATTTGAACTTAAACTTCATGTTGCATTCTGGTGGAATCCTGGGACGGGGACTAGAGCTGGGCTGAGCTCCGAGCTCACTGGTCCCAGGGCAATTACCTTGCAGCCTTCACACGTGATGCAGCGGTAGTGATACCCGGTGGCTTTGTCACCACACACTACACATAGCTCGTCCTTGTCTAAATAACTGGGGATGTACCCTGTGAAGAAGGAAAAAAGAGGAATGTGAGGAGAAAATATCACGCTAAAGTCAAAGACACACCATAGCTTGGCAGAGGATAAAAGGAGGACAGGAGATAAGGCGCATGAGGGAGGAGGCAGGACCAAATTGTTTTATACACTTTAATCCAATTTGTGCTTTAGTGTTTACATCTTGTCATCATTTAGTTTTAAATATAAAAGGTAAATAAAATATTTAACAAGAAAAAATTTGAAGTCTTTCCCTGACTTCATATACTTCCTCAGTATCTTATACTTATCTGCTACATTCTCTCATACGTATAGAGTTGGATAGGAGGCCCAGGATTTCAGAATGCCTTAGAAATAGGTGTGATCAGGGCGCCTGGGTGGCTCAGTTGGTTAAGCGACTGCCTTCGGCTCAGGTCATGATCCTGGAGTCCCTGGATCGAGTCCCGCATCGGGCTCTCTGCTCGGCAGGGAGTCTGCTTCTCCCTCTGACCCTCCTCCCTCTCATGTGCTTGCTCTCTCTCATTCTCTCTCTCTCAAATAAATAAATAAAATCTTTAAAAAAAAAAAGAAATAGGTATGATCATTCTTGCTCTGCAGGTGGGAATATATCTGAAGGCTGTTGGAGCCAATGAATCATACAGAGAGGCCAAGATTTGAGACATCTGGAGTGCTCTGGGTTCTGGAGAACATAATCTCTTTTGCAAGCCTTTTTTCAGAATTTTTTCTTAGAAGACTGGATCCACTTTGGAATCAAGGCACCATGCAATAAATTCAGAAAACTTTACAGCTTGGAGATCATCAAGTAATTTTGAGGTGAACAGACTTTCAGAGGTTTGCTTGGCCTTCCTGAGGGTCACACTAGAAATTAAAGCAGAGATCTTCTAACCAGATCTCCTAACTTCTAGTATAAGTAATGCTTGTCTTTTTCTAAAAATAGACAGTTAACTTTAAGTAGAATGAACAAAGCCATCTAAAAAATTTTTTTTGGTAAACTTGTGCCATTATGAGACAAAACCCAACAATTCTGGGTGATGTGAAATAATGGAGGTTCTACTTATTAATTAAAAAAAGAAAGTCCAACCATGATAACTCTCTTTGTTAGTGTACTATTGGTTTATTAGTTTAAATTCTTTGACCCAGGAAACTAAAGTTTAAAAACCAAACAGAAGCAGCCTACTTCCCACCGGTCTTTGCCTCTTCCCCTTCACTTGTAGACAATGTTCAAACACAAGAAACTGATTCTAAAGGGCAAATTCAGTTTCATATGGTATCAGTGGTTTACCATTGAAGCACGTATCTTTAGATGAGTGCAGAAATCAAAATAAGGTCTGCTTTGTTGGGATGTGGAGAAGGGAAAAGCTGAGAAAACAAAATCATTCCTTTCCCAGATCATGGCCCCTTATGAAGTTTTTGACTTGGTAAACTCTTACGGTTTCAATAAAGATTAGCCAGGTTGAAATGACAGATGACTTGCTGTATGCTTTACCATGACATTTTCATATATCTTTTATTAAACTAGGTCACAGAGGGCTTACATTTCAGAAAAAAATCCACAAAGAAAACAGAAGAAAATGAGTCCTTTTCACAATTTCTTAGAAATTACTTTGCTCAGACTTTATTTTAGAAAAATGGCCCCTCTTGGGAGGGAGACAAATGACTTCAGAGTGAGATCTGGTAATGTACAGGATTATTTTCTTAAATATCACAGCTTTTCTTACTTTTGCATCATGCAAACCATGAGTCATCTGTTGAATTCACTTTAAGAGTTTCAAAACTTCCATCAGACATTTTTAAAAAAGAGCATTCTGGGAGGGATTGGGACAGAAAAAAAGGGGACTGGAATGATTTGTGTGTTTATTCAATCATTCATCTATTCATAAATTCAGAAAACATTTATTTAGCATGTACTATGCGCTTAGCACTGTGCTTGGTGCTGAGAATATAAAAACAAGTAAGGCATGGTTTCTTCCCTTGGTAGGCGCACGTGTAGGAAACTGAGTTGTGTACTTCCAGTCCTGGTCATTCCTCAGCGAGAGAAGACAAGGTGAAGATGAAGGAAAGAACATGAAAGATGCTGAACAGCACCACAAGGAAATGCAAAGCCCAAACCACAATGAGACACCACTTAACATCCTTTAGTATGGTTATAATAAAAATGGTGGACAATAACAAATGTTGGTAAGGACATGGAGAAATCTGAACCTTTATATATTGCTGGTAAAAATGTAAAATGTGCCTTAGAAAATAGTTTGGCAGTTCCTCAAAAGGCTAAACATAAAGTTACATATGACCCAGCAATTCCACGCCTAGGTGTGTTCCCAAGAGAACTGAAAATACGTGTCCACACACAAACCTGTACAGGAATGTTCAAAGCAGCATTATTTATAATATCCAAGGGATGGAAACAACCCAAATGCCCATCAACTGATGAATGGATAAACAAAAGGTAGTACATTCATACAATGGAATTTATTCAGCTGTGAGAAGGAATGAAGTGTTGACTCAGGCTACAACATGGATGAACACTTATGAAATGAAGACATTATGTTAAAAGAAAGAAGCCAGACATGAAAGGCCACATATTGCATGATTTCATTTCTATGAAATGTCTAGAATAGGCAAATTCATAGAGAAAGAAATTGGATTAGTGGATGACAAGGCCTGGCGGGAGGGAGTAATGGGGAATAACTGCTAATGGGTACAGAGTTTCTTTTCATGGTGACAAGAATGTTCTGAAATTGTATAGTGTTGATGGTTGCACAACTCTGAATATACCAAAAACTATTGAATGAAAAACCATTGTTTTTCATGGATATGTTTTGTACACTTTCAGTGTGTGAGGTCTATGGTATGTGGAATATGTTTCAATAAAGCTGTTACTACAAAAACAAAGAAATGAAGGTAATAAAAGAGAATGGTTCCATTTGACAAACATTTATATGTGTATACTATGTGCCAGGCAGTGTGCTAAGGATCTAAAGATGGCTAAGTTTCCATTCTTGGGGAACCTTTCAGTGCGGTGGGGAAAAAGACAATAACAGATCATCTGCATATAATGTGGAAGGCACTGGGATAGTGCTATGTCCAGAATCACAGAGGGGAAACCCTTTGAGAAGCCTTCCTGTCTCCCCCCCAGCTCAAGTCCAAACTGGGTACTCCCATACCTCCTTGTGCTTCCCAATAGTAGTCCTTTTATATCTGTATTATAACTACCTGTAAATTTTTTCTTCCCTTTGACCATAATCTTTGATTCACTATAGGTTTGTACAATTCCAGCTAGAGGGCAGGGATTAAAACATTCATGCTGAAACCCGTGTCTAACACCTGCTCCCTCTATGGATGGCATACAGTTTTCAAGATCTCTGCCACTGGCCAATGGCAAAGAACGTGAGCAGGAGGGATATATCTGGAACCTGCAGATAAGTAGGTTTAAAGCCTGGAGCTGTGCCTGAGAAAGCTAAAGATATCAGAAAAGATTTCTGAAAGAGGTGATAATGCAGATTCAGGGGGCCAAACTTCAGAGCTAATGAAAACTGCATTAGAAACTTGATTTTTGGTAAAGAAGCCAAGATTCCACTCAGATTAAAACTAACACATCCAGATTGAAGCTCATCCAAAACCTAGTGATCTGAGGAGATGCATGCTCACTAATCAACTAGATTCGGTCCTTCTTTCTTTGCTCTGATCACTAGGTTCAATACAGTGAGACAGGACCAAAGAGAGCTTAAGGGCAATACCATTTTCCCACAATATTGAAATGAAAATCACAATGACCAGGCCAGTTTGATTCAGATACCATCACCAAAAGTGAAGATTTGCAGTCTGAATTTTATACAATGTGCTCCACTTTCTACTTTGGGCTATCTAACCCACTATCCATTACATTCAAAAGAGTCTTTGCTTCCTGGCTAGGTTTCTCATTAACCCCAAGTCCCAAGGTTGTATACCACTGTCTGGTAGGTAACTGATGGTGCTGTGGTTCCAATTTAATAAGAAATCTAATAACATCTACAGGAAAACTCACTGGGCATTGCTTTATTCCAAAGACAATTTTGGGGAGTCCATCTATAGGAAGAAATAACACAAAATATTCCAACAGGGCTCTGTGCTCAGAGAAATAACTAGTTACCAAATGTGGGGGGAGGGTCATAGGGAAAATGGTTGGAGATACTCTGGACTTAACTAACACCAGTGGAATTCAGTGATCAGTCTTTAGGAATCAAAAGCAATGTATGTATTAGTTTCTTAAAAACTTTCTTTTTAAATAAAAAAATTATACAAGTAATACAGTTCATTATAGAAAAAGTAAAAGACATAAATGAGCAAAAATGAAATTTGCCTTCCACAGTTTGGCTATTGTGTCCATCGACAGATGACTGGATAAAGAAGATGTGGTATATATAT